GTATGAGAAATTTAGGACCTCTTCACTGTGAAATTCTAAATATTGATTTTTATAAAAAAGCAAAACCTAGAAATCTTTGACCCTTTTCATTAATTTCAGGGTTATCATTTTTGAAAAATCTACACCAAAGTGTTTTTTAAATTACATAACTAAAAATAAATCATACTGTGGAAACATCTGGTAAAATTAATGAAAAAATATTTTTCTCTATGTTTTAATTCTAGTGTAATATGGATGAAGGTAAGTTATGATCAAAATTTGTTGTTAATAAGCTTACAATTAAGTGAGTAAATAGAATATAAAAGATGAAAGAAGGTAAAATGTTCTTAATGTAGTACATTGTTTTCAGCAATAGGTTTAGGCCGCAAGTCAAGAACATGACAGTCACTATTTTTATTTTTATTTTTTATTTTTTTTTTTTCATGCTAGGGGAGTAGAGAAAATTTTTTTTTTTCATGCTAGGGGAGTAGAGAAAACACTATTTTTAAAAATAATAAGAATGTTGCAAGTTACAGTCCTGTCGCTTAGCTATGGGATATAGTTAGAAATGCATCGTTAGGTGATTTTGTCATGTGAATATATATCATAGAGTATACTTACACAAACCTAGATAGTATAACCTACACACCTAGGCTATATAGTATAGCCTGGTGCTCATCGGCTACAAACCTATAGTAACAGCATATTACTGTACTGAACACTGTAGGCAGTTGTCACATAATGGTAAATATTTGTGTATCTAAACATAGAAAAGGTACAGTAAAATACAGTATTATAATCTTATGGGATACCATTGTATATACAGACTGTCATTGACCAAAATGTTATGTAGCATGTGACTATACTGTGGTTAAAGTACCAAGTTTAGTTATTAAATATGTTGTATTAATTTAATATTTCCTCCTGTTATGAAAAGAATATTACCCATAAATATTAATAACTGCTAACCAGTTAACACTGGGTGTCAGGGTCTCCTCAAGAAAGAATAATAATCTGACTCAGAATTCTAAGCAGAATCTCTCTCTTCATGCCTCCCCCAAATAAATCATGAATACATTCTGACTGTAGGAAACATAAAAAGAAACTAAAATGTACATTAGTTTCTTAGACATTCATTATAGATTACATTGTTGATAAGATAACAGAACATTAAGTGAATCAGAAAGAATGCAAGAATCAAGTTTGAGAAACCATGCTAGATTAGAAAATGTCTACAAGAACCTTTACCTCATTTTCTGATAGCTGATTTATGGGAGTACATAAACTGCCTTCTCTTAGGAAAAAATATGTCACTCCTCACAACTTTCATCTCTATCTTAACTTTAACTGCCTTGGTGAAGGAATGTTTTACAGCAATAAACATCACAAGGAATGCTCCTAGATTAGTGTTTGTGTCTAAAAGCCTTGTGTGGCCTTATCTGCCCTTTTCTGCTGTTAAGTCCTGTACAGTTAACAGGGAAGATCGATGAAGACCAAAAGTTAATGTTGGATTGAAATGTTTTCCAGTTGTCATTACCAGATTTAAAGTAGATTATTGATAAGGGAATGGGTCTGTACAATGTGGTAACTTCTTAAACTTAAGAATCCTAAGGTAGAATTAGGGTGAGCAGGATCTCTAAGGAAAAGCTGCCAGGGATGTGAAGTGGAGAAGTCTAAGAGCCATCTTCACAGCGTAAATGACGTGGGTTATTCTGCACATTTATTTACACATACTAGGTACAATTTACCAATAAGTAGGAAGATCCTGAGTAATACTACAACACAAGGTGTCTCTTAAGGAATCTGTCTAGCTTACTACTGGAACAGCTTTCTTATTTGACAGGATTTGGCTTGAAGAGTCCTTTACTAACCTCAAGATTATTTTTGTTGACATGCTGGCTGTTCATCCTTTCCAAAAGTTTGAAAACATCAGAATCATGAGGGGCTTGCCATTTGGCTTGTATATGCAAAATAATTGCCCCCTCTCCCTTTAACATGATTGTTTTCTAACTTCACATAGCAAGTTACTTAACCCATAGGCCTGTGTAGGTTTGGTGGCTCACTCCTGTAATCCTAGCACTCTGGTGAGGCCAAGGCAAGAGAATAGCTTGAGGTCAGGAGTTCAAGACCAGCCTGAGCAAGAGTGAGATTCCATCTCTACCAATAGAAAAGTTAGCCTGGGCCGGGCGTGGTGGCTCACGCCTGTAATCCTAGCACTCTGGGAGGCGGAGCCGGGCGGATTGCTCAAGGTCAGGAGTTCAAAACCAGCCTGAGCAAGAGCAAGACCTCGTCTCTACTATAAATAAAAAAGAAATTAATTGGCCAACTAATATACATAGAAAAAATCAGCCGGGCATGGTGGTGCATGCCTGTAGTCCCAGCTACTAGGGAAGCTGAGGCAGGAGGATCACTTGAGCCCAGGAGTTTGAGGTTGCTGTGAGCTAGGCTGACGCCACGGCACTCACTCTAGCCTGGCAACAAAGTGAGACTCTGTCTCAAAAAAAAAAAAAAAGTGAAAAGTTAGCCTGGCATGGTAATTTGCTATAGCCAGATAGTAAATTTTAGGGTTTGCAGTCCACAAACTTTTGTGTTGGCAACTACTCATTTATACCAGTATAGTTCAAAAATAGCCAAAGCAGGCCGGGCGTGCTGGCTCACGCCTGTAATCCTAGCACTCTGGGAGGCCGAGGTGGGTGGATTGCTCGAGGTCAGGAGTTCGAAACCAGCCTGAGCAAGAGCGAGACCCCATCTCTACTATAAATAGAAAGAAATTAATTGGCCAACTAATATATAGATATATATATATATACAAAAAAGAAAATTAGCCGGGCATGGTGGCGCATGCCTGTAGTCCCAGCTACTTGGGAGGCTGAGGCAGCAGGATTGCTTGAGCCCAGGAGATTGAGGTTGCTGTGAGCTAGGCTGACGCCATGGCACTCACTCTAGCCAGGGCAACAAAGCGAGACTCTGTCTCCAAAAAAAAAAAAAAAAAAAAAAAAATAGCCAAAGCAAATATATAAATGAACAGTCATAGTTATGTCTCAGTAGAACTATATTTATAAAAACAGCCACCAACCTCTAGCTAAAACAATTCTGAAAATGAACAAAATAGGGTGACTTATATTAACTTGTTTCCATTCTTGTTGTAAAGCTTCAGTAGTCAAGACATTGTGATATTGTTGTAAAGATGGACATATGATCAATGGAACAAAAAAGAGTCCACACATATATGGTCAATTAATTTTCAATGAAAATGTCAGTGTGATTCAATGGCAGAAATGATAGGATTATCTGCATACAAAAACAACCAACAAAACCCTCCCCAAATCCACTTTGATCCTTACCTCAAACCATGCACAAAATTAGCATGAGATGGATCGTAGACCTAAATGTAAGAACAAAAAGTATAAACTTCTAGAAAAACAGGAAAGAAAAGTCACCCAAAGCATGATCCATAATAGAAAAAAATTGATAAATTGTATTTCATCAAACAAATATTTTGCTTTTCAAAAGACACAATTAAGCAAATGAAAAAGCAAACTACTGACCAGGAGAAAAAATTTGTAAAACATATATCTGATAAAAGATTTGTATCCAGAATATTTACAGAACTCTTAACAACTCAAATATAAGAACTCTTACAAGTCAATAATGAGGACAAAATAATAATTAAAGATGAAAGTGGGCAGAAGATTTGCAAATGGAAAATAAGTGTATAAAAAGATGATCACATTTTCTAGTCGTAAAGTAAATGTCACAGTGAGAAACTTTAAACCCCCACTAGAATAGCTAATATTAAAAAGCTGACAATAGCAAGTGTTGTCGAGGATGTGGAGGAATTGGTGCCCTCTCACGTGGCTGGTAGAAATGTAGAATGATAAAACCGCTTGGAAAACAATTTGGCAATTTCTAAAGATTAAATGAATATTTACAATGCAACCCGGTAATTTTACTCCTAGATACCTACCTAAAGAGAAATCAAAGTGTATGTACGCACAAAAACTTGTACTCAAATGTTCACAGCAGCATCATTCATAATAGCAAAAACTAGAAATAATCTAAATGTCTTATCAGCTGGAGAATAAACCAAATGTGCTGTGTCCATGCAATGGCATAGTACCCAGCAATAAGACAGAATAAACTACTGGCATAGGCAACAAAATAAATGAATCTCAAAAACATTACCCTAATAGACACAAAATACTACATATTTATTTATAGAAGTTTTTCAAAAAATGCAAAACTATAGAGACAGAACACAGACCTTCTCTTGCCTGAGGCCGGGGCTGGGAGTGGGGACCAACTGCAAATGAACATAAGGGATGATGGATTTGTTCTAAAATTTCATCGTGGTTATCATCGCACAACTGTATACATTTACTAAAATTTATCAATTGGGTGAATTTTATGGTATTAAAAGTGTAACAGTAAAGTTGTTTAAAAAAGAAAAAATATGGAACTGCAAGGTCTGAACAAAAGATGTAGCCACCCCAGAAAGCGTCCCACTGTGAGAGGCCCACACTGTGCCAAAACAAGGGATTTCTCAGGATAAAGAGGCAAGGTCATGGAACACGGAGGTGTGGTTGGATTCAAAAACATTTGAGCTTTGTCAATTTTCACCAGGATTGGCCCTTCCTGAACTCATGCCTTTCCTTTTTAATGCTCCTGTCCTATTTTCGGTGAAATGGAAGATATGACTAACCAGGGTTACAAGAGCATTGCTTGAAATCTTTCCAGATAGATGTAAGCACCATCCTCAAAAAAGAAATACCAAACAATGGTTTCCCTTGTTACCAACCTATTACAAAATCAAACAAGACCAAATTGTGCCAATCAAACCTATGATCTTACTTCTTGATTCCTAAGGTGAAATAGTAACTTCAAAATCTATATTTTAGTGCTTTATGGTGACTATGCAGAATTAATAGGTTAAAATGTTTTCCCAGAAGTGATAGGAATTGCATGTGCAAATCTTATTAAAGAAACTGTTAAAATGGCCAGAATTCACACTTAGCCAGGTGTATAATGAAGACAATCTGCTTTTATTCAAATTGGTGCTGAACCTATACACGGATAACAATAGAGTAAAGCAAGGTAGAACAAAAGAAACATGGGTCTTTTTTAAGCTCCTAAGCTAAAAGTGCAGCTGCTGAATGCACAAACAGGCTTTTTTGCAAAGGGAATCTTTAAAAAAAATTTACAAAAGTCCTGGGTGAAGCTCCTGCCCTGCTCCTAGCACTCCCTGCCTCTCTTCTGTGGCCATCAGCACACTGACAGGCAGAGCCGGGGTAAAGGCTATTTGATGGAAGCAAAGGGACCACTGGGTTAGGAAATTATACACAGAAAAGCCACAGACATTCATTTATTGCCTCAGCGCAACCCCTACTTGGTGAGCAAGGGAGCATTCCGCAAGTGCAGGACGCTGAGGTTTGCATTTTGCCTGGGAGTGGTTTTCTGCTATAGCATACCACACTTTCCACGCGTGGTCCTATTACGGAGACAGACTTTCCATCGTAACTTGGAGTGGAAGTTAGAAGTACAACCTAAGGCCCAAGGAGGCTATTTCCCCTCGTTGTCTGATGTCACCAATCTTTAGGCGATGGAAAGTATGATCTTTTGCTCTAATTCACAACGTTGATCAGTCTTGGTACAAAAGAGCAGCAGGAGGAAGATCATGCATTCAACTACGAATCCAGTAGGCGGCGTCCTCGCCTCTCCATCAGCACGATCTTCACTCTGACCGGCTGCAACCTCTCAGCAAAGCAAACAGCTGAAATCCGTGTCTTCTGATGTCTGGGGCAACCTTAAGGTGTCCAGAAGAAACAGATAAAAGGGCTAGCCCTTTCCCTCCCTGTAAAACTTTACAGTACAGTCTAATTCTGCTCTTATTTTGTAGCTGAATTTGGTTTGGAGGTAATGTTGAACTTAATACCAAATATCTTCAAAACACTAAAACTGCTAAGATTTGTCTCTGTCTTAAAGTTGTTTTGTTTGAACTCACACCAACCATTTCTTTGAGAGGCAGAGTGGCCTGTGGCTAAAGACACCAGGACCATACTTCCCAGATTCAAATTCCATCTCTCCCAAAAAAAGAATTTTGCAATTTGGGGCAAAACGCTCAGTAGATACATTTTCTCATCTATAAAATAGGGCTTAAGGGGTTCATATGGATAAAACACTGATCACAGTACCTGGTAAATAAAATTTAATAAATGTTAGCTATCATTTGTAAGCATTTAATGTTTCTTTTGTTTTATTTTATTTTGAGACAGGGTCTCAATCTGTTGCCTAGACTAGAGTGCCGTGGCATCATCATAGCTCACTGCAACCTCAAACTCCTGGGCTCAAGTGATCCTCCTGCCTCAGCCTCCCAAGTTGCTGAGACTACAGATGTGCATCACCACACCTGGCTAATTTTTGTATTTTTTTATAGAGATGGATGTTGCTATGTTGCTCAGGCTGGTCTTGAACTCCTGACCTCAAGCAATCTTCCTGTCTTAGCTTCCCAAAGTACAGGGATTATGGATGTGAGTAACCATACCCAGCCTAATGTTTCTTTTATATGGACATTTATAAACACATGCAATTCAAATTCCACTCTGTGATCAACAAGGGGCAACTGGGAACATGGCATTGGCTTCTAACATTCATCTAAAATTATTTTCTTCCCCACTTAGACTCCTGGAGTCATGTAGCACCCATTTACCCCCACAATAAAGACTATCCCAGCTTTGATTCCATCATATTTGAAGCTTGGATGTCACTTTTGGAACAAATCCACTGTTTCATTCAGTTGGTGTGGAGAGAAGTGGGAGAGATAAGTGAATCCCCATCAGTGACAGTAGGGGCCCCTGGGCTTACCTGCATGTAAGCATACCAGACATTGATGTCTCCAGCCAGTGAAAGGAAGATATAACTTCTAAAAATCATCATATCGACTTATGCTGTGGGGTTAACGAGAAGAGAGGTGAGAAGCAGGCGACCATAAAAGATGTACAGGGGAACAGGGAGAAGACCTAGTTCCTGAGCACCAGGGATTCCTAGTTCCTGGAATTCCATCTCTTAATTCTCACCCAAAGACCTTGAGCAAGATCTAGAGCCCCAAAGCAAAGCCCACAGGCGCTATCTCCTTAGCGGAGCAGTTAATCTGGCTCACCAATCAAAAAGTTTGAGTCTAGATTTCTGGCTCTTGTTGAAAAATAAGAGACCAGGCAACGACAGGCTGGCGTGGCGCCGTGGCTGCTCTGCTAGGGCCTACATCTGCTCTTTAGTGGTCCTGTGTCGCTCCCCGCTGCCCATGAGCCCAACCTCCCCCTCCCTCCTGCTGCTTCCTGCTCCTGCACGTCTGAGCCGTTGACTCCCAGGGTAGCTCTTACTCTTCCCTTTAGCAGCTGAGTACAGAAACTGAAACCAGGGGCAGTTGAGCACCTTTCCCACGGTTGCCTAACTGAAAGTGCAGAAGCTAGAATTGAAATTTTGGTCCGTTTCATTTACATAGAATATATATATATATATAAATAATTCAGCACTTATACTCTTGGAGAGAATGTTTTGTAAGAAAGAGCCCTGTGTGCAGGGTTCAAGTTCTAGGTGCAGCACTGCATGAGTGCGTCTAGCCCTGGGCACCACACTTGGCGTTGCTGCTCCGGACGGACCTCAGACGGCTCATCTGCGCAATGGGGGTGGCCAGGCCTACTTCCCCGGGGTGGGTTGCTGGGGCCACCCGCGAAAGGACTAGCTGAGCCTGGCTGTCGCCGGGGGAAGAGCAAGCCGTCTGCAATTCAAACGCACGTGAGGGAAATCGGAGATGACTTACACGTGCAGGTGCTAACGGTTCCAGAGCGGGCAGCTTGGATTTCCAGCCGGGGTGGCCGCGTCTCAGCCTCCGCCCGACCCCTCCCCGCGCGCCCGCCTTCCTTGCGCCCGCCGACCCCTCCCCGCGCCCGCCCTTCCCCTGCGCCCCCGGCCGACCCCTTCCCGCGCGCCCGCCCTTCCCCTGCGCCCCCGCCCCGCTGTCCCCGCCGGCCTCGCCCGCCGCGCGCCGCCGCCCGAGGGAGCCGCCTGAGCCCGCGGACGGGCGCCAGCTGCCCCGCGCGCCGAGCCGCACGTGAGTCCCCGCCGGCCGGGCTCCCCGCGGCGGAAGGGCTGGGTGGGGACAGCGCCGGGCGCTTTTCGGCGCGTCCCGGTCACTTTGAAACCGAAAGCGCCTGCTCGCGACCGGCCGGTCCCCGCTGAGCCGCGCGGGGAGGCGCGAGGGCGGCCGGCCGGCCGGACGCGGGCGGGGCAGGTGCGCGGCCGGGGCGAGCGGGCGCGGTGGGGAGTGGGTTTTCTTAGCAGGGGAGAGGAGTGGCGAAGACCGAGGTGGGGGGTCTCCAGGGCCGGTTCAGTTGGGGTGTGTGCGCAGCGGGGCGGACTTGGGGGCTCGCCCCGCACCCCGCACTGCAGAGCGGGCCGGGCCTCCCTGCACGCTCTTAGGCACCCCCGCCACCTTTGCGAGACCTCCCGACCAGAGCGACTCCAGAATGCAGCTTTAATTTTGCGAGGAATGGAAACCGCCACCAACTGTGGGTTTGCGCGTCCTCGTTTAGGGACAGAAGGTGAGCTCAGAGGGGTCTTGAAGCAGCCCGGGGCGCTGAGAGGTCAGACGAGGTGCCCAGGGGCACCGAGAGAGTTCTCGGAATCTCAGTTCCCTTCCCCAGACGGCCTCCCCGCGTTTCTGCTCTGCGGGGTCTTGGCAGTCCTGAGACTTTGCGGCGATTATCGGCGCTGTGCTGTTGCTGCTGGTCCTACTGGGCCACTCTGGCGACTTTCTCCGCTGGCTCGGCCCCCTCCTGCAGAGTTTCCATATTTGGCTGTTTCAGATTTACTTTCGTGAGAACTCAGTAGTCTCGCTGTGGCGGGCAGAGCGAGTGTTCAGGTTGGTGAACCGAGGAGAGGGGCCCCATCCTCGCAGCCCTGGGCCTGTGAGCACAGGCATCTAGCAGCTGATTTAATTCAGCAGATATTTATTGGGCAAGTGCTGTGTGAGAAAGAACTGGGCGAGGGCCAGTGGAATATGGTTCCTTCCTCCAGAGAGATTTGCATTCTAAAAGAGTTCTGGAAGACATAAAATGCAAAGAAGTTTGTTGAAGTATTTCTGGGAATAGAACAGTTCTGGGTGTGTGAAGAGATAATTTTAGGCAGCAAGAGGCTGGGCCAGGAGCTCTCAAATCCCAGTGCAGCTGCCTGCTCTGCTTGATAGACACACACAAAGCTGAAAACAGGGCTGTTCACATAACTGATCATCTAACCTCCCCCCCAGGTCTACTCTCATTTGATCAAGAGATACAGAAATTGTTGCAGGAAAGATGGATGTGAGATGGAAAGTGGAAAACATCTAGCTTCTGGAAAGGCTTTTGGTTCTGTTACTGTTTTCGCTGCAGCTCACAGATCCTGGACAAAGGCCGGAGAAAGTCTCTAGCCTGAGCCGGCATCTGGAAGAGGGGACGTGATGGAGAAGGTGACTCCTAGGTCCTCCTGGCTGAGGTCTTGGCAGTGGGGGTGGGATGGCCGTGTCTCCCTCAGTCAGCAAGTGTCACCACGTGCCCTCTGGACATGGGTAGTAGGGTGGTGGAAAGATTATGGAAAAGAGATGGTACCCCATGCACGGGAAGTGCTAACTGCAGAGACTGGGATATTTCAGGGAGGAGGATTTGCAGAATGCGGGGTCTAGATGCCTCTGAGTCGGTCCCGTTAGGCTGATGGGAAAGACACCTCGGTACTAAGACGAACCTTCCATGGTTATCTCAGCTTTACTGGGGAGGACATTGAAGAAAAGAAAATAACTCCTTGTTTGTGAAGAAGCTCTTTCCTTTTCAAAGAATCTCCCCGTTGCTCTTGTTTTGTTCTCATTTTGTCCTCTCTAATTCCTTCTTGAGTCAGGCCACAGCGGGACTGTTCTTCACATCTCTCAGATGGCCAGTGTGAAGCACTGAGAGTATAAATAACCCTTGAGCTCCGCCTCTGGACCAGGCATGGAGCTCTAAGGTCTCTGGTTCTGCTCCAGGTCCCTCCCCCTGGCTTCTCAGCCAAGTCTGTCCGCTCATCCTCGTCTGAGGGGCCAGCAAAGGGACCCAGACTCCAATAATGCCTGTGTGGGCTGTTCCCAGCAACGTGGTGCAAGTTGCGCTGGAAACTGCCCTAGCCACTGCATGAACAGACCCCCAGTCCCTTAGCTCTGCCCGGCCAGGCACTCTTGGGGCAAGACCTGTGTCTGCTTTGGTGCGTATCCTGGAATCTGGCGCACAGTAGGCCTAAACAAATGTTGGCTAAATTGCACTGAATTTATCTGGGGTGTGTCTCCCTTGGGCTCTGGGCTGCCAGGGCCATGTGCTGGGTACAGCTTGGGAGAGAGAGGTGGAGCTGCCTGAGGAACTTGCTTGGATCCTAGAAACTAGAATGACGCTGTACAGTTTACAAGTAGCCCGTCTCATCTGATTCATTCCCTGCTACCTCTTTAAGGAGAAGGGAGAGGCAGGTGCTATTCCTTCCACTTTATCTGGTTGCAAGCTGGGGGCGTCAGAAGTGATTTGAAAGATCTCTCATCACATAGGGATGGGGCGGGACCCAAGCCCAAGTCTTCTGACCCCAATTCCTGTGCTCATCCCATCGTATATTGACTAAAGGTAGCCAGGATTCTGGGCAGGAGGAGGACGGGAGAATGAGCGAGATATTCATAAAAAGCTGCCTGACACCTTTGTCACTGATCAGGGGTCTTTAAGAGTTAATAAATCAGGAGAAGTGGGGAGGGGGCAGTGGCAGACAGTCTCTGAAGAGCTTCCATGAGGTTCCTTTGGACTGGAGCTGTCACCCCAGCAGAGGTGTAGCAGGTGTGTGCGTGTGCGTGATGGGGGTAGAGGGGAACATGCCACAGGGCAGAGGCAATCCCCAAAGCCACAGGCTGCCAGGGTTGGGCCAGCAAATTTGTTGCTTTGCCCAGAGGAAACCTTTATTTGAGGGATTAGATGGCAGCCTTGAGTGGTATGGCCTCCAGCAAGTCCTCTCTTGTGAGGAAGTGGGGTGGAGGACCAGGGAAGAGCTAAAGTGAAAATCCCCATGAGTCCTGACCGAGACATTCGAAGCCTGCTTACGATGACAGTGATGAGCACATTTTGTTTATTGACACCTGGCGGCAGGTGGCGGTGCGTGTTTAGGTTGTGCTGTGTGAAGCAGAAGCGGTACACATCCAAGTGGCCTGTGCGCTGAACTTAATTTTACAGTCCATGCGCTCTGCAGGCCTTGTACACCCAGTGCTAAGGGACAAGGCTCACCGTGCACCCAGTCGGGGTGTGTGTGTGGGGTGGGGTCTGTCCTGTCACTCTCAGCAGATCCCTGTCTCATTTCTTGACACCATAGGTTCCATCGGTTTCCCTTCTCACCAGTTCAGAACATCCCTGGAATTTCCCCCACGGCTTTTTTTTTTTTTCTCTCTCCAGGAGAAAGTGCTCTCCTCCGGGCCAAGAGCGCCTTCTCCACCTACACTTCCAAGCCAGCTCTCTCCTGCTCCCCGAGGCAGGTTCCATCTCTTCCTCCCCAGCAAGCTCAGTTTTTTGTTAAACAAGAAGACTCCGTGTTCCCCAGTCCCTCTCCTCTCTCTTTCACTAACCGGCTTCTGGAAAGAGTAGCCCACACTTGTGCTGTCTTCCTCACTCGCCGCTGTGCACCTGCCGTGCTGCTCGGATTGCCCGAGAAGGTTTCCAGGGCCTGGTCACAGGCCTGCACCAGCCCACCCTGCAGCTGTCGCCCGTCTCCTTGAGGCTGCCACCCTACCCCCACTGGCATTCCCTTCCTTGACCTTGAGCTTCTGTCCCTCTGCCCTGCAAGCACCAGTGTGGGACCAAGGCCGGGTCCTCAGGCCAGCGTTCTGTTCCCTGAGCTCCTCTCTCTAGAGCCTTCTTCCACTCCCAAGGCTTCAACCAACACTTTCAAAGAAAGGCCAGGTTTTGGTGGCTCATACTGTAATCCCAGTACTTTGGGAGGCCGAGGCAGGAGGATCGCTTGAGGCCAGGAGTTGAGACCAGCCTTAATAACATAGCGAGCCCCCTAGCTACTTGGGAGGCTGAGGCAGGAGGATCACTTCAGCCCAAAAGTTTGAGGCTAAAGTGAGCTATGGTTGTGCCACTGAACCATAGCCTGGAGCCCCTTTGGACATCTGTCCCAAGCCTCCTCTTCCTCCACCTTCCCCCAAGTATGGCATCTGTTGCTCCTCAGTCACCTCTGTCTTATCCCTGCCAGCCAGTCCTGATCTACTGTCTGTTCCCAGTTCAGGGCCACAGGCTCTTTCCTGGATGAACTTAATTATCTCGTTTTCCTATTTTCCATTCACTCGTTTTCCTATTTTCTTTTCCATACTGCTGCAAAAGGGGCCACCTTAATACATAGCCTAATCAAGACCTACCTCTTTCACTAATGGCATTGTGGAAAGAGTGTGGATTTCAGGATCTGGCAGGCTGGGGTTCAAATCTGGTTTATGGCTTGCTGGTTGTCTTATGATCTGGGTAAGTTGCCCAACTTCCAGTGTCTATATTCCCACTGGGGAACAGAGATAGTAATATCTTCCACTTGGGGTTGTTGGAAAGATTAAATGAGCCTGTATGTAAACAGAGCCTAGTGCCTGGCAGGTGTTCAGTAAAACTGGTTTTCTTCTTCCATGTGGTTAATAGAAATAGAGAGTTGTGGGGTTTCTAGGGAGCTGGAAAATGCATGCCTAGCCTAAAGGCCTTCATATTTAAATTAAAAACAAGCAAAAGAACTGCCTTGTGCCAGGGTAGACCATCATTTAAACTAGCCTGTTGCTGCCACTTTGCAATCTATAGACCAGGCAGACCTCAGGGGCTAGGGGCTAGTGCCCCAGGGCTCAGGTTTCAAGGACAGGATTTTAGTCCTTAGAAGGCCTTGGGGGCGGGCGGAGTAGGCTGCAGCTTTGGAGGAAGAGTAGTGCTTGGCGGGGACCGAATACAGGCACCCAGCAGAAGAAATAAAACAGACTTGGGAAGCAAAATACAGGCTCTGGCTTGACTGCCAGGAGCAGGCCAGTTACTTCAGTGGGACCCAGTGGTGAAGTCAGGGCAGGATGAGGTTGACTTTATGCAAAGCCACCACTCAGAGCCCCTTCCACTCTCCCTTACCAAGGCAATGGCTTAGAACTGCCGGCCTGCGTGCCAAGGCGCTCCTCAGGGAGGCCCTTGGCCTTGGAGAAAGGAGGCAGGTGGGTGGGGTTAAGCTAAGCAGAAATCGTGAAAGTCCCTCTTCTGCCTTTTGCGTGATGTTGGGATTCTGAGGGAGGGGCTGGGGCAATACCAGTGATGCAACCTGGGAAATCCTCCCGTGCCTCCCTGGGGTAAAGGCAGAATAGTCTAACGTAGAGCAAAGGTTTGCATGCTAACTAGGTGCAGAATGAAGGGAGTGACTAAGAAATTGGGTGGGGTTTTCCAGGAAGCCCTTGTGGGAAGTAAGACTTGGATCAGAGCGTTGGGAAGGAATACTGGACTTGGGCAAAGGTGTTTCAGAGAGAGAAAAGATAAAGGGAATAGTCACCCTTAAGCTATGGAAAATAGATTATTTTGGAGCAGACTGATTTTCTTATGTTAAGGTGGTTTATTCCAAATTTCAGTAATTTGGGACGTTGCCTCAACTCTCAGTAGGATTACCACAGACTTTCCTCAGGGTTGTGCAGTGTTGCATGTTACTGTGGACAGCCACACACTAAGTTCTTTCAGTCCTTCCTTGATACTAACTGTTCCCTGTGTGTGGCGTTAAGTGGTTCACTTCGCTTACACTGGATCTTTCTAGCAATTGGACTTTGCCATCCCCCATCTCTTCCACCTCATAATTGCAGTGCTAGAGTTTCTCACCATCAACTCTGTTCAAGCCTGTTAAACAGCTGTATAGGGCCTTCTACACCTGACTTATCCATTCCTACCTTGCCTCACATCATTTCTCCTTCCTAGATTGCCTCCTATTTTACTCTACTAATCCATGCCCTGTCGCCCTTTTCAAAACAAATTCAAAATCCAGCTCTCATTAGGTTTCTGTGTTGTGACCCCAAGACCATCCCCAGGTTCCATGATTTTCTAGAAAAACTTATAGGAGTCAGCATACAGTCATACTCACAGCCATGATTTGTTAGAACCAAAGGATACAGAGCAAGATCAGCAAAGGGAAAGGTGCATAGGGTTAAGTCCAGGGGAAACCAAATGCAAGCTTCTTGAAGTCTTAGAATGAGCTCTCCAGTGGGAATTATGCAGGATATGCTTAATTTCTTCTGCAACAGTGAATTGTGACAAGAGGCGTCAAGTGTTGTCTACCACGGAAGCCCATTAGAGACTCAGTGCCCAGGGTTCTTATTGAGGGCCACTCATGTAGGCACCTCTGTCTAGCACATAACAAAATACCAGATTTCCAGAAAAAAAACAGGTGTTCAGCATAAACAGCATTGTTTGCACAAACACTTTAGGCGCAGTGAACCACTCCTCTCAGTTGGGGTGGTGGGTGCCCTGCTGATATCCACATTCCCAGATGCCACCAAGGGCCATCCTTATAAGCAGACCTTTCTAGGGATGGCAGTCTCAGGCCTGCTGTGTTAGCTCTTTTCTGCACAGCTTTCCCCTATAATCCTACCTGTACTGTCCTCTCGGTGCCTAACCATAGTCATACTGTACAAAAAATTACCCTAGACAAGGAGCCAGAAGACCTGGGTTTTTGAACACCATAGTTTTAGGAAAAAAAAAAACAAAAAAAAACCAGAAGACCTGGGTTCTAGCCCAGCACAGCCACCTACCGCTGGGTAACCCTTTGCACCCTCCACACCCCATTCTCATTTGGAAAAGGGGAATTGTAATTCTTACTTGTAGACCTCAAGAGTGACCGAAGATGATACAGTTGGTCATTCTGCCTATCTTTCTTGGTTGGGCACCTACATTGTCCAAGTGAGTGGGCAGTAGAGAGTAGGTGGTGAGCTTTGATAGCAGACAAGCCTGAATCGCTACCCAGCAGTCACCAGCGGTGGCACCTTGTACACACTGTGCAGTCCCCCTGAGCTTCGGGTTTCTGATCTGTGAAATAGGAAGATGAATAATACCTGTACCTCATGGGGTTGCTGTGTGGATTGAGTGGCACAAGCCATGCAAAGTTCCTAGCTGTGGTGTCTGGCACGTTATAGGCACCCCAGGTGGCAGCTGTTAATTGACTCAGATATTCGAGTGCTTGCCTGTGTCAGCACCTTCAAAAAGATAGACACAGTCCCAGTGCTGCCTTCTGAGTGCTGGGGAAGACTAATATTGAACAGTGATTACATCAACAACTCATTGCATTCCTGGTAAGTGCTGTAGGTGATTACAGGGCACGTCATAAGGGAGGGGGGACCTAACCTGGGAGAAGGGGCACACAGAGGCTTAGCCACATATGTGACGTTCAGCTGGGCTTGGGTGCGTTTAGCTCAGCGAGAGGTAGGGAGAGAGGGAGGAGAGGATGTTGGCAGCAGAGACCACAGCTTGAAAAGGGACAGCAGCCTTTGGGTGAAGGCCGTAAGGAGGGAAGGTTCTCTGTATTCATACGAGGAACAGCACAAAGACCAGAGAGGCTGGGGGATAAGGGGAGGGAGGGAGCTCCCAGGTGACCTCAGAGATGTTGGCAGGAGCCCTGCAGGATGCGCTAGGCATTGGGAACCTTAAGAATAATGGGAGACTTTGAAAAAGTTTTGAGAGTCACACCAGGAGGGATGCTAGCTGTCTGGCCACAGCAAGCAGCAAGGTGGAGAATGAGTCTTTACCTGGAAGGAGCTCTGGAGAGAGAGCAGCTTGGGAGAGGGGAGGGGGTTCAGTTGGGGACGAGTTGGCTTTGGAGCACCTGTGAGGCATTCGGAAGGCCGTGCTATGCTAGGTAGGCAGTAGCATGGAGTAGCATCGATGGGTCTGTACGCAGAGGGGATGTCTGGGCTGGAGAGAGTGACAGCTGGGAGCTGTTTGTTTTTATGTGGTCTTGGCTACCAGCATGTGGTTTCAGGGAAGCAGAAGGGAAGGTGTTTTGCAGTGTGTGTGCCCGGTGTGGGGAGCCAGCGGTTGCGGAGATGTCAAGATAAGGTGAAGGCTGAAGATTGACCGTTGGCACCAGTGACCCAGAAATCTCTGGCGACCTTGGTGAGGGCAGCTTGAGGGGTTGGTGAGGGTGTAAAGTGCTTGCAGCGGTCTAGCGTTGGGTGGAGGAGAGGCCAGTGGGGACCGAGGTGAGGGTGAGTCAAGAAGCTTGGCTGGGAGAGAAAGGAGGGCATGAATTTTAAGGAAATCTGAGAGTCAGAATTCTTTTTTTTTTTTAATCTTAGGAGAGACTTGGGGCTGTGAGAATGCCGATGGGTGGAGCCAGCTGAAAGGGAGAGGTTGCTAAGAAGGCAGGCGCAGGTGGGTGAGACTGGACATCAAAAGATCCGACATCAAAAGATCCCCGAGGAGGCAGGAGCCCAGGACAGGTGGACAGCGACAGCTGGGGAGACTGGCCCAAGTCAGAGGGCCACTTCTCTTGCCACCCCAGGAGGGAAAGGGCCGATGGGGGCCCCCTGCAAGGAGATATGCAAGTCTGGCTGCAGGAAGTGGAGGTCGTTCTGGTCTGATGACTTCTAGTTTTTTTCTGTGCAGTAAGGAGTGGAGTTTCCTGGTGAGACTAGGGGGAGTGGCCAAGGTTTGTAAAGAGAAAGGCTGGAAGTAAACATTGCAAACAGGAGTGAGCTGAAAGGGAAAAGCTGGCCATGCACTGCGTTACCTGGCCAGTGGGAGTTTAGAACTCTGGCGGCTTGCACAACACCTGAGGGCCCCATAAATGTTTCTAGAATTGACCTGTTGGCCTGTCTACCTTTCTGCGTCCTTCTTGCTATCAGGCCAAAGCTCCCCTCTCGGTCCCCTCATGCAGAGGCTGTCACATTGGTGTGTCAGTGTGTAGCATGGCTCGTGACTCACGCTTCCAGCCCGTATGGCTAGATCTTCCCTTTCACACTGACTGTCCCACCCCGTCCCCGTCCCCCAGCCATCATCAGCCAGCCTCGCCCTCTCTAGCTGTGACTGGTAAAGCGCCTGGACCTACAGACAGGTGCAGTGAAGCATTTATGCCGAGTGGGAGAGGCTGGCCTGCTTGTGTAGGGTTCCACCAAGGCAGCTAGCTGTCCAGTCTTTCGATAAGTACCGTGTTTCCCCGAAAATAAGACAGGGTCCTATATTTATTTTTCCTCAAGAAGACACCCTAGGGCTTATTTTCAGGGGATGTGTTATTTTCCCCTCGAAGCCTCAGCTTGCAGCACGCACAGCATGGCCAGGACCTGGCAGGGGGAGTCGTCCTTGTTGGTGGGGCTGCCCGCACCTTTCTGGTCACCTCTGGGATAGTAGCTGTCACGATGGGGCAGATGAGAAGGGCTGCTCGTCTTCTTTACTGCTCTTTGCTGAAATGCATGGGTTGTGCAGATGTGCTGCGGAGCCACGCCCATCACTGGGTCTTATGTCGGGGTAGGGCTTCTATTGCGCAAATGCTTAGAAATCCTGCTAGGGCTTATTTTATGGGTAGGTCTTATTTTCGGGGAAACGTGGTAGTTACTGAGCTCCCGTCGTGTGCACTGTTCGAAGCATTGGGACCTTAGTAAGCATAAGAGACAATCCCTGCCCTCATGGAGCTTATATTCTGGTAGGAGGAGACAGAGAGTAAAGACATAAACGTGTACTGTGTTGGACAGTAGTAAGTGCTTTGGAGAAAAATGCAGCAGGGGTTGGGGGTGCCGGGGGTGTTGGGTTTCCAGGTGGGGAGGGGGGTCAGGGAAGGCCTCACTGGGGAGGTGACACTTGAGTAGATACCTGCAGTGAAGGAGCAAGCCCTTCAGGTATCAGGGTGGAGAGTACTGTAGGCAGGGGGAGTAGCAAGCAAAAGGCTCTTCTGCTGTTCAAGAAAAAGCAAGGCCAGCACGGCTGGAGGGAGGGGACAAAGGGGAAGGCGCTAGGAAATGAGGACAGAGGGAAGGGAGGGCCACATGGCACTGGGACCTGGCTTCTACCTTGGGTGTGAGGGGGCCGTGGAGCAAAGGAGTGCAGATCTGGCTTCTGTTTATAGGAGGGTCACAGGCTGCTGGGGGGTGAACGGGACATAATGTTGCAAGGCAGAGTGAGACCCACCAGGGAGCCACTGCTGCGGCCAGCAGTGAGATGATGGTGGCAGCTTAGAGCCAGCGGCCGTGCTGGCCATGGTGAGAGGTGGGTGGGCTGGGGACAGGCTGGGAGGAAGAGCCGATGGGATTGGGTGCTGTGAGAAGGAGGGTAGGTGTGGAGCCAAGGGTGACGCCAAAGCTCTTGGTCCAGGCAGCAGGGGGATGGGCGGTCCCATTTCACTGAGAGTGGGGACGGCCATGGGAGGAGCAGGCTGGGGAGGGGACTGGATGGGTGAAGCTTGCGATGCCCCTGAGATGGGGAGGTGTGGCCTGTGTGGTTGGAGTGAGCATGGGGTCCAGGGGAGGGGTTTGGAGTGCAGGTAGAAATCAGGGTATTGTCAGCCATAGATGGATGTGAGGCCAGGACCCGGGCTGAGCTCCCAAGAGCGTGAGTGCAGATAGAAGAGAGAAGAGGTCCAGCACCAGCCTGGAGGTCCAAGAGATAGGAGAAGGCGACTAGTCGGTGCCTCTCACAACTGTCACAGGCTAAAGAATCTAGCCTGGGAACTTTCTGAAAAATCAGACGTCTGATTGCTACCGAGAGATCCTGATGCTGAAGTATATGAATTAGAGTAGGCTAAACTGTTATCACAAATAGACACCCCAAACAGAGGTCTGCCAAGCTAGCATTTCTATCGTGCTCTAGGGTGGGTTCCCAGGAGAGCATCTGAGGACCTAACTGCTCAGAGTGCCGCCGCTGTGGTTTTGTGCACAGGCCTGATCTCCACCTGGACCTAGAACTCCTTGGGGATGGGGGCTGTCTGATAACCCACTCCACCCCCTCCCATCACAGAATAAGGCACATGCCTCTGCACGCAACAGGCACTGAATAAACCTGCCTAGGAGGGAAGGGTGGACTTGCAGAGTTGTTAAGTACTTGTTTATGTGCTAGGTACTATGTGCTAGTAAGTTACATGGATTAATGCATTTAATCTTAACTCTGAGTCTTTGAGGCAGGTACTATTATTGTCCCATCTTCTAGATGAGGAATAGGTGACACAGGTCAGTAAATGGCAGCAGGGATTGAGCCCCCAGCATGCTGGTGCCAAAGCCGCTCTGTAACCAGCAGGCCGTACTGCCTCTCATCAAGACTTCCCCTTTGGGCCGGACGAGGTGGCTTACGCCTGTAATCCCAGCACTCTGGGAGACCGAGGTTTGAGGTCAGGAGTTTGAGACCAGGCTGAGCGAGAGCGAAACCCTGTCTCCACTAAAAATAGAAAAAATTAGTTGGGTGCGATGGTGCGCATGCCTGTAGTCCCAGCTACTCGGGAGGCTGAGGCAGGAGGATCGCCTGAGCCCAGGAGTTTGAGGTTGCTGTGAGCTGGACTGACACCATGGCATTCTAGCCTGGGCAGCAGAGTGAGAGACTGTCTCAAAAAAAAAAAAAAAATACTTCCTCTTTGGTTAAGCACTTAAATGTCTTAAAAACAAACAACAACAACAACAAAAAGACTTCCCCTTTGGTCTTGGCTGGGATGTGGTACATTTTCTCCTTGCCATGACCTAGCACAGAGCCAGAAAGTCTGTATTCAAACCCCTACTCTGCCATGTACCAGCTGTAGGATTTGGGGCAAGTTGTTCAACATCTTGAGGCCTCATATGCTTCGTCACAAATATGACCGTGGTACAGGGGTAGTGTGGGAACTGTGTGTGATACCGTATGTAAATACTAGCTGGAAAGTACTAGTAGGTGTTGGTATCATCATCGTCATCATCTTGAAAAATCAAACTGTGGCTTCCCTAGTATTAACCAGAAAAACTGCCAGAGCTTGGCAGTGGAGCTTGGAACAAACCCAACAGGCCATTTCAGTCAGAATAGTTCTGTATGCTCTTTTATTTATTGATGTTTCTGCGTGAAATTTGGTTTGATGGGTTTCAATGTTTTTTTGTTTCGTTTTGTTTTGGTTTTTTTGAGACAGAGTCTCGCTTTGTTGCCCAGGCTAGAGTGAGTGCCGTGGCGTCAGCCTAGCTCACAGCAACCTCAATCTCCTGGGCTCAAGCAATCCTGCTGCCTCAGCCTCCCGAGTAGCTGGGACTACAGGCATGTGCCACCATGCCCGGCTAATTTTTTCTATATATATTAGTTGGCCAATTAATTTCTTTCTATTTATAGTAGAGATGGGGTCTTGCTCTTGCTCAGGCTGGTTTCGAACTCCTGACCTCGAGCAATCCACCCACGTTGGCCTCCCAGAGTGCTAGGATTACAGGCGTGAGCCACTGCGCCCGGCCGGTTTCAGTGTTTTTTAAAAAATGTGAAACCCTTGGCTAGCTGATCCCTTAAGTCCTTGCAGAGCTGGCTGGCTCCACTGTGGGCCGGGGAGCCACTCCCCACGTTCTGTCTGCTTCTCTCGGGTCTCCTCTGTCCCCACCTGCTCTCCCTTTTCTGTCGTCCCCATCGAGCCCATCAGTCCCAATAGCCTTGTGTCAAGTGTTGTCCCAAGGGGCTGCATTCTTCAAGCTGGACTCTAGCATGCCCGCCCATGTGTGGGCTGGGCATCTGGGGTGTGCCTGGGGTAGTGGACCCCAGGAGATCCCTCTACCCGAGGCTGGCATGAGAGGGCTGCCTCTGGTCCTGTCTGCCTCCTCCCTGGACCTGGGCCAGGTCCAGCCTGGCTGCCAGTGAGGAGCAGATTGATTGTCCCATTTGCTTCTTGCAAACGCTCCCCTGCCACAGACTCTCCCAGCTCTGGGCAGGAGGCGGGTGTCAGTATGTCACACGTCTGTGGTCAGCTTTGGGGATACAAACCTAACACAAAGGCACCTGTTAGAGTGAGCATTCGTGGGAAGATGGGGCACAGACAGCATGATGTTGACCTTTGGTAGCTAAAAGTCACCTTTGGTAGCTAAAAGGTCAGGCCAGAGTTTCTGAATGCTCACTGGCATATCTGTTCTGTAGCCTGCCTAGGCTGGTCTCAGGTTTCCTCTCTTTCCTCGGAGCACCCTTAGGCCATGGAGGGTGGGCTGGGTGAAGGCTGGGACCCACCCTCCCTTGAAAGTGCTTTTGAATTCCAAGTGCAATCTAAACTGTCAGCTGTTGGCTGTGTATCCAGGCTCCCAGGTCCCGCTGCTCCAGGGGCCCCTGGAATCTTGTTGAGTGTGTGCTCTTTATGCCTGTCTATGTGAGCAAACAGGATGGGATGGCCAGGAAGAACAAGGGGGAGAGAACTGTGAGGCCGAGATGACAGCCCCATAACTCGATGAAGTGGGCAAACCCACCCC